TTGTTGACCCCACATTTCACCTCTGTGCTGGACATAATTCCCCCCTACAATAGGGGAGGAGAGCTCAGAACGTTAGGACTGACTTTCTACAGAATATGCAATTATATCAGGCCGAGGCAAAACATTTGATTAAATAAGCAGTATATGACAAAATTTTTCCAGACCTCATCGTTTATAAGAACTTATATATTCAAACCCTATCTCTCTACAGTATGCAGAATTTCCATTAGTCTTCTTCACAGATATTTTATGATGTAAACACCCAGCACTTTCATAAAGAGCATAAGCAAGCTACCATGTCCTGGAGGAAGAGGAGCAGATGTGTTTTAATAAAAATCACAGTGATTTTTTTGGTGGTTGTGACAAAATGCAGATACAGGTTCCTTTTGGAAGAGAAAGGACTGAACAGAGCTTTTGGCAACATCTGCTTGATCAACATTTCTGGGCTCCAGTCAACCAACCTGGCAAGCAAAATCACTGCAACAAGAAAACACAAAAATTTTTGAAAAAAAAAAGTAAAAAAAAAAAAGTGCAAGCTTTGCAATTTAGCATGGGGAAAGATGGTTGTCGAAACAAGTGCGAGTGACTAAAAAGAGTGGGGAGAAGGACTGATCCATAGTCAGTTTAGACATTTAAGTACAGAACTGCTACCTTGGTGTCCTTTTTCAGATAGGGAGAGTGAAGCAGGCACCACCCAAGGGCGAGTCACCTCGGGTACCTTAAGATACCTTAGCACAGCCCTAAAGACAAAGACTAGAATTACTGCAGAGAAGGCCGCATCTAGACATGCCAGATTTGGAGAACATTCAAGGACTCAATATGTTACATTAGCTGTTTGATTTTCACACAGATGAGAGAAATCTGCAACAATTGTGCAACAAGGGCCAGGGAAAAAGCTCCTTGCAGAACTGCAACACGACGAACTGGAAGCAAATCAATGCACGCGCGTTAGGATAACAGAGTCAAGAAGCTGTGATAACCTACGCTAGCAAGAGCAATGTAAACCATCTTAAATCATCGCCATCCAAACAACTCAAAACCCAAGTAATGCCAAAGTGTATGACCATATCCATTGGTGTTACTTACTTCCTGAATAGCAAAGACTAGCAATAGAAAACAATTGAATTCCACATTTTAACACGGTATCTCAGAGCAAATCAAAGGTGGATAAAGGGCCTTAGCCCTCATTAGTAGGTAGAGAAATTATGCTAGCAAAAGGTTATGTGATTTGTACAGCATTGCACAGGAAGAAAGCAGCAGGGCCAAAGAACAGTCAGTGTCCTGTCCTCCACACCACAACAGCAGGTGCTAAGGCCAAAGCATTTAGTGTCTCCAGTAAAATGTATAATCAACACTTCACACAAATTACATTAATATAGGCATGCAATTGTTTTTCTTATGTGTGCCTGTGCTGTAACATTTATCTAGAAAGCAAACAACACAGAGAATGAACTATTCATTTCACGATCAGAGACTCTACTTGTCCTTTAGCTTTGCTTCTGCAAAATCAACTTCCACCCATCAGCCCATCTGATGCAACTCCGCTCTGATGGAAAGAGCATTAAGCCACCAGAAATACTGCACATACACACCTGGACTGCATTTAAATGGCACCAAATTAAAATGAAAATCTCAAATTTCTGTAGGGCTGCATGTTAACCCACATCCTATCATGGTCCAGCAGGAACATACAACATACTTAGTGCTCCCCCTTACGACACTGAGCCTGCCTTCCTCCAATCTGGCTTCATAAAAGGCAAAGTTCAGTGCTCAGTTATAAGTTAGATGTATTTTCATGAAATACATGCTGAGAAAGGAGGAAAAAGTTAAGCAAGCAGCAAAACCTGAGACTGTCAATGTTAAATCCACTACACTGACCACAAATACATCAAACTAATAACTAACAAGCTTTTCAGTGACAATGCTGGCAGCAGAGACCAGTGACAATGCTTCAGCAAACAGTGTGCCAGCGAATCTGCATCCTGAACTAAAGGCTCTGTTGATTTCAGTTGTCCTTAGATGAGAACCTTGTAATTCACCGGGAACATTCTGCCATGTGTAGAGATCCCCGGCTTCTGACATGAGCTTCATCCACTGATTTGGTGGAGCCCATGTTAGGCCAATCCTTACTGGCTCATAATTAACTGGCAGAGTTCAACCCACAACAGGGACTTCCCAGCAGTTTGGAAAGTAGCCAGTATGTCTCAAATTTGACAAGGAAATACTTGATTTTCTCTGTGCCTCCCAGCCCCTCAGTCTCACAATAGTCTCTTTGCAAGATGTCCAGCTGCACGGCAAAGAAAACAGCTCATAAACTGAAAACAGTTTTACAATCCTCAGAACTGAGCTGATGTGCAGGTAAATTACAAAAGGAAAATTATTATTCTTCCTTGCACTACCACCTCATCAAATCCTCTCCTCCCCATTAAATCTTCCTCTTCTGCCTATTAAAAAAGGCCGTTAAAAGAACTCCTCCTCATAACTGACATTTTGCACATCTCCATTCCTTGCTGCAAAGATCATCCATGTGAAAACCAAGTATCTTTAAACAAAATGTCCTTTTTGCTTATTCTTCATCCACTGAAGGACTGAGAATCCTTTTGCTTTCTAAAGGAAGATGATGAACTGATCAGAACTAAAAATCTGTATTGGTGCAAAAGGACTAAAAGAAAAACCACTGTCAAATCAATATGATCTGTAAGTGCTTCACGTACTGGAACATCATTTCTTTAAACCATCACCTCTTCTTAATTTCTTTAATTTAAATCCCCCCTCAGGATTGACAGTTTTCTGAAAAAAGCCTCTCATTTTCAGGAGCTCTCCAATTGCTCTCCTACTTATGCTTCATACAATCTGAGAACTGTCTAACAGAAAAGACGATTCACTGAAATTTCAAAATAACTAAATCTGCATTACTTAAACCTGTATTTACTCAAAACTAAGAAGTTCAACGACATGAGCTCACTTTGCTGGCTTCCCCAAGTCTTCTTGCTACACCTTCAGTGCTGGGTGGTTTGGGTTTTTTTAATTCTCATTTATTCTCTCCTATTCAAAAATAAACATTTCTTTTCACTTAGTTATGGGAAATTATGGTACACTTCCTCCAGTAGTTCTTTCCTGCCTTTTTTCCAAACACCTACTCTTCTGAATGGATGATCTGTCCATTTAAGAGAACTCTTGTGTCTAAACAATAAAGGTCAGTCTTATTAACATCTGTCTAAATAGAATACATCTGGGTCATAAAATACTGATGATAGCATGGATGTTTACAACATTTTACAAAATAGAGTATGATGCTGCTGGACTAATCACTATGCAGATAAACAGTCTGATATTATGACCTGTTTTTGCACAGAGAATAAAAGACCAAGCAAACATCTTTGTCCTCATGATCATCTTACAACAAAAAGTACATCATAGCATTCATATATGTATGACGTGCATTTTAAATGGCATTACAATTCACCTGTCTAGATTATTAGGCAGAGAACACCGATTAAGCACTACCTCTATTGCATAAACAGGTGTTTCCCAAGAGGCTTTCATGGGCATATTCTGCATTTGTTTTGCATACAAGGTAGGAGCAGAACACAAAACAAGTTGTGACTGGTTAAGAATCGGGACAAATGGTAAGAACGAAGACAAAGGCATTTCTGTTTCTTAGTCAATTATAATTTAGCAGTGTGATTGGATGCAATCGCAGGACGAGGAACATCTTCTAGGGTTTCTTTCTTGACCATGGGATAATGTCTTACAGCACTGGGCATAATGCAAAACAGAGTTGTGCAAAGCTGTAGCAGGAACACACTTCACCACAGCTTATTTGCTGCTGCAGCCTCTATTTACAAGTAGGTAACTTTTTAGGAAACACAAGACTTGCCACTGGCTGCATCATGACAGAGGAATAGGAGTGGCTGAATTCAGGAAGATTTTTATTCTGATCAGCAGCACTGAGGTGGCAAATACAAGCAATCAGGCCTTAAGTACGACAGCAATTTATTTACTCTTCTCCAAACTCTGGAACACAACGCATAGCAAAAAAGGAGATCAACACTCAAACTTTGAGAGATCTAAATTTTACTAATACACACAAATTTTCAGCACAAGATGGCCTGACAGTTCACATACTGGAATTGCCAGCAGTCATGGCAGACTCTGCTTCCTCCTCTACTTCGTTATGACATAGAAAGATTAACAGCAGTTCTCTATATTGTCTACTCTGGGAATTTTGGCAACATGACATTATCCAAAAGAGAACACTGCCAGAACCTACAGCACCACACAACCCAATAAACAGGCAATCAGCTGCTCACTCTCACACACGTTTTGTAACAAGCTCATAAACCTGAAAGGATCAGAAAAGCAGTCATCTGCCACTTCATGCCTTTCCCCCCAGGCCGCTAAGAGATTCCCCAAAAGCTTTTGAACGTTCCCAATATTCCAAGTCACTGTGCTGAATCAGCACAAACATTATACTCTGAAGCACTGAAATAATGAAACACAAGATTCTCGTCACTACTCTGCCAATGCAGATCATCTATGCCCTGCAATAACCTGAATATTCTAGTTCTGTGCACATTATGGGCAGGACTCCTGATTATCCAGGCTAGGCAATTTTGCATATGCAGATACACACAGTCATGTTCATTCTCACCAAACAAGGCCTCTTAAAACATATTTTCCACACCAGAGTTCATGCTAAATGTTTCCCGCTGGTAAAAATAAACAATTGCTGGACATTCTTTCCTCATAACTTAGTAAGCTTTGGGGTTTTAAAAACAGGTAGGGTGGAGAGGGAGAAGGCAGAACAGTCTTAAGGGTTATGAACTCCTATATTCCATGCAAAAGGCAGAAGTTAGAAACTGGAGCAAGACAATTCTTAACTAGTTTTCCTTACTGTGACTCTTAACATTTTATTCCCTAATTGTGAACTGCACCATTTTTGAGTCAAAGCAGCACCTCTTTCAGCACAAACAGCCAAATAACCGTTACTGACGTACCTTTCCAGAATCAACCAGTTCTGCTATTTCATCCAAACTTGGGCCACTTGGCATAAAAAATGCCCACCGATAATGGACTCCTTTAAAGAGATGCTGCAAGAAAGATCACAAATACATTAAAAAAATCATGAGAGGAAACCGAAATGTGAACTAAAATTAATGACAGAAGCATTAGAGAAGTAACTTAAGGAAAAGACATGGAAATTATATGCTAGTGTCTGAAAAAAAAGTCACCTAAGCACATGGATTAAATGTACAGACAGGGATGTTGTATTACCACAATAGGATCAGGGTGAATTTTGTGTCCAATTGCACAAGTCAGCTAGTTGAGAAAAACAACCACCTTGTCTCCAGACAGCTAATGCAGCTAGAAACAGCATTCTTTGTTACGTAACAGAGAAATGGTGCTCTATGTTTATACACATTCACAAAAGGGGGGAAATAAACCCAGCAATGTGACATTTAGAACGTTCCACCTCAGTGTCAGTGATTAAATTTTCCACCATCACATCTGCCAAAGTCATCACTGTCCAATGCGGATGGCAGCTCACATGAAAAGCAATTTGGGAAGATCTTACAAGCACAAGTCAAGAGCACCTCCTCTGAGTAAGTCATAAGAGGAATGAGGGCCAGATGATTTCTTATACAGGGCATACAATGCTCCTCATCATGGAAACATGCACACTGAGAAGCAGCAATACATGATTTCTTCCCAGCCTTTTCATTTTGTTTTTGAGCTTTCCTTTGGAAGTATCAGTGCAGGACTTAGAATCTCATTCAACCATGCCATCACAGGGATACCATGGCAACTGCTTGAAACGCATTCATTTGGAGAGCAAGTATGCATGTTGAGAGAAGAAAGAGAAGAGTTCTAAAAAGCCTCACTGATCTGGCCACTGGCTGAACATTTTAAAATCCACTTAGGAAAACTAGAAAAATCAGTATCTGGATCCAGACACATGAACATGAAAGAGATGAAAGACTTTCTAGCCACCTTCAACCACTTTTATTACTCTCTGGTGCTGGAATAGGATGAAGAGAATCAGTCATGGAACAATGTTTTGAGAGAAAGCCTGACCAGCCTAAAGCAAGTAGCAAAATTACCCCCACTTCAATGAGGCTGGGATTTGCTCTGTTTACTGTGAAACACTGGCTGTCAGCAGGACTCACGAGGGGGGAGCATATGGAAAAGGCCACAATGAAAAGCACAATAACAAATCGGAATTTCAAAGCACTGCAAACTACCACATACACCAATCAGTACCACCCTGACACATTTTTTTTTCAGTGCAAGAAAGAAGGAAAGAATAAGCATGCATCTGAAGTATACTTAATGATATATGAGGAAAATAAAACAGATGAACCACATGACTAGCATCCAAGCCACAAAGGAAGCCATTAGAGTACTACATAATATTAAAGTATGTAGGATTTTGTCAAATACCTTTACAGTTTTGGAAGCAACAGTGACTCCTGTTTGTAACATGCCATCAGCCACTCCAAGTTTGTCCATATTGATCAAGAAAGGTGTCACTAAGGTAACATATGTTGCTCCTGACCATTGCTTCAGGAGATCTAGAGCCCACTTCTCAGTGGATCCACCAACATTATCTAGGATGAAATCAAATCTGCAGACATGTAAAGAACAGGTTTAAAATTATGATATGGGGAAAAAAATTCACATTAATTAACCTAATACAGATCAGAAATTGGCTGTAGTTTACATTTTTACATATCACTGCAATGCATTAAAATAACTACCTACAAGACAGTAGCAAGAAAGTCCCAAGACTTCATCTAAATCCCAGCTTTACTGTACAACGGAAGTTAAATGTACAGGTTTTTGCCCATTCGCTGCACAGCAGACACAGACTATTTTGGTAACTTAAGCTGCTCTTAAACTCCAAAAAGTAGACTCCAAGATGCACAACTACATTCTCTATTTGCTTAAAGCCTTCTAGAGCTCTCTCTCTTCAGCCCTCCCAGAGAGGGACTACTGGAAGAGCCTTGAGGTCTGGTCCTAGCATTGAACAATATGCTATGTGCATGTAAAAACTAGTCTGGACTCACACCCTGAGTAGGAACATCTGTACCTGCCGTTCTCACGTGAAAGCTGGTTCCAGTAGCCAAAGTTACATAAATTACTCTACTAACCTTATCTCTCTCCTCACATCTTTTCTGTACTGAATTCTCAGCTTCACTTCTGAAAGTCTTTTTTGACCTCCCTATTTGGTTTGGGACCATTTTACCTTAACTGACAGTTCTTTTCTTCAAATCTACCTATTTGACGTAGAACCTAACAATGGAATGGGTATGTTCAGCCTCTGGCAACAAGCCACAGTTTCAGTGTTCCTTCTCATTATCCCAGCATGTGAGTCTGTAAAGGTTGAATAGGGCAACAGGAAGCTACGCACCTATTCTGTTAGATGCACAGCTCATTCTCACCTGTAAATTTCCAGCAATCTTCAGATTGCAATAGATATGTATACACACATACATCGAATCTAAATAGCCTACAAATAAGGGAAAATACTTTATGCAAATTAAATAGAAAAGTTCTTATCTCTGCAAAGACAGTTTTCCTGCCTACCTTCCAAGGATGTGATTTCACGTTACATTTCAGTCAACCTAACAGTTAGCTGCCAACAACAGAAATTAAAATCATGAAAACTAATGCTCCAGGAAAATTTAGCTCACCATGGAGTCTGAAGAGTCAGTACAACTGAAAAGGGGAGAGCAGGAGGACCACCCCGCTCAGTATACCTGACTGATTGACTTAGCCGTATCATAAAACTGCACGCTAAGACAGTGCTGTTGACAGCTCCCAAAAAGGGTCACTTCCTAGAATGGGTGTTTAGCATGTAAGATGTTGAATTGCACAAAGGCAGATTTAGTACTGCCTGCAAACTGCTAAGTTAGTTGCTGCACATCCTCCCCATACAGACAGTGCCAGTACCCTGACAGTTGCCTTCAGGCCTGCTGACAATCACACCACAGTTAAAGGGCACGTGCCTTCTTAGCACAGTTATCATTAAGATTCTTTCATAGATTGAACAGCTTCTATTTCCCCTCCTAGAAAGTTAACTCAATCTAGCTGAGAAGAGCAGTGTAAATACCATATTCCAATACAAGTCCCAGTAGACTAAGTTTAAACAGATGGAAAGATTAAAAAAGCAGAAAAGACTTTGGTTCTAGATAAAACCCCCAAGCTAATTTAAACACAACTGCTGTGACAAGGTAAGTGTGATTGTTTATCAGAAACAGCCCTACCGAATGTTACAGAAGAGAAATTTACTCCCAGTTGAGTTGCACAGTGGCCAGACCTTCAGGCAAGTCACTTAACTGCTTCGTGACCTAGAAGATCAGTTTTACTACCTACTAGCCTCACACAGGATTTCTGAGACTTATTTTAATTTATTCATGCTTTGTAAATGCTCCAAGATCCTTGGATGGAAGCTGACAAAACTGTTCAAATCACAGTCATTGAAGAAAAGCATGTGAAAGTGAGCTTGCCTCCACAAGCCCAATTAATTGGCTTAGTCTTACAATGAAATGTGTGCTTGGGATACTCACTTGGCAAACTGCATTCAAAAAGGGCTGGGATGAATTTGCTTTACAAAGTTAACACTTTAGAAAAGGGGAAAAAACAAAAAAAAAAAAAAAAAAAAAAAAAAGAGGGAGTTCTGATAGACTGGAGTCAAGCAATCAAAAGGCAGAAGGTCTGACTGCCAACTCCTTCATCTCAGTATTAAGCAACACAAACACGTACAAGGGTAATGTTTTAAGTTGCTCTTCCAGATTTCCAGATTTGTAATCAATCACCTCATCTGCTCCAAGCTTTTTCATCAGTGTGCTGGCATCATGAGAACAAACTGCTGTCACGTGAGCACCCCAGGCCTTCACTAGCTGAAAACAAGTATAAAAAAAAAAAAAAAAAAAGTCCAAAGTTTAGTGAAACATTAAGAACAACTTAAAAGCCAAAGTCTCATTATATTTATATAATAAAATGAGCACTTTTAGTAGGGAGTGGGGAGACTGTGTTCCAACACAGGATAACTTGTTGCACATCCCACAGGCAAACAATGGTTAGAATTTATCAATACTTAAGGAGGTTTTGGGGAGGAAGAAGCTGGTGGGGAGGAAGGAGGGTGTTTTTTTTAATGCCGCTTACAGGTATCAGGTCTCAGGATAAATAAGGCTTCAAATAAAATACTCAGTTTGCCATCTGAATCTGTCAGCTAAATATGTACTAAGAGGTATTGTCCAAGTTACCAATCTACAAAACTGTCACCAGATCAACCATGGAATATTTTTAAATATTTAAAATTAAAAGTAAGCATTTCGTATCTCTCTCACTGTAAACAGCTTAAATATTAATAACAAGAAAAAGAAGGAAGTAATCTCTGATTTGCCACGGGGAGGATGTCAGGTTATCTTCTACTCCAAAAGCTAGAGCAAAGTAAAGGATTATTGCTAGTTATTTATCTCTTTCATAATCCCATTTTTCATGCACAGTAATCTTTTTTACATTTATTCCTGATTAATTAAGGTAGTTTACTCAGGATTAATCAAGTAGAAATCGCAACTAGTCAGTGGCTGGTTAGCCTTTCGTACTCATATAATTTAGCCACCTGCTTTATCACGGACCAGGCAAATAGCACATCACTAAAAATTCTCCTGTAAGCCTCTTTAAAACCACTATGTTTATGGTCTAGTAACATGGAACGCAGTGATGCAACCACCCAACCCTGTATTTTTTTCATATTCTCAAGAAAAAGATGATTCAGCATGAGATGACACCGATTAGAATCGAAATCCCCAAATTAAATGAGACCATGAAGAGAGGATGTTCCACAATTAATGGATCAATAAAAGAGCATGTTGATCTTCCAAAGTTTAGAGCTACTGGAATGAAGACAGACAAAAGGGCAGCAGGGCAAAGACAGTGAGGGAAAGCTAATATAAGCCTCTGTGCTTTACATACACTGCACATAAAAGCCTGGTGCCTCTCATGTCATTTGCCCACCTATAGCAGTTACGGTAGATGACACATTCTCCATCAGCTTTTCTACTCCTACACCAAGTTCTTTTCATATTTATGGAGCAGAGCTGACTGAAAAATAATGAAAACAGGCTACATATTTCAAGTTACACCAATTAGAGATTTCCTGCACCCAAACTGTGAAATGAGATTTTTTCACTACCTACACTCACCACTCCTTTCTTTGAAAGTCCCCGCTTCCTACTTTAAACTAATGCAACGTAACAAATGGAAAGCAGTAAATCTAAACATGTTTCACTTCTGGAAGTATCAATCAGATCAATCAGACAGATCAATCTTGCTGTTTCACTATTCCTTCCCTCAATTCCCTTCCGTTAATTTTTTTTTCATATTGAATTGCTTGAAGATGCATCCTAGGCATGCTGGTTTGTATTACCTGTACAGCAAATGTACCAACTCCTCCTGAAGCTCCTAATATTAATACTCTGCAAGAGAAAATTAAAATGTATTAAATAGTTCTTTAAATAAACCTTATAGTAACTATTGTATTCTAATGCTTCTTATACATCTCTGACATCAAATTATGTTAAGCAAAAGATTGTATTTGTCATTCAGTGTTACTTAGTGGTTAACTCTTCAGATAGCCAGTAATGTGACTTAACATCGCTGATCATGTTTCCCGTGCCAAGAGCATTATCTCAGCACAGCCAAAAAGACTCCCGCATATGTGCTTTCCACTAAAACCAGGCAGTGGAGCTGTCAGGCAGTAACATTTATCATGCAAAAGCCCTGGCCCTGGCCCTGCTTCCCCAAATGCAACTGCTTAGTTTGGGACAAAATCAGGGAAGAGTCTTTCTATCTCCCAGGCTCCGCTGTCATATCTGCTGAAGAAAAAAATCTGATTTGCCAACATTCTACACAAATTGGTGTTAACTAAGAGAAAAAGTGGTTTAGTATCATATTATTTAGGGACACTGGGAACTTCAGGATATATGGGACATAATTTTCCCATGCTGCATAATATTTATCTATGAGAAAGACAAAATACAATGAAGTAGCTTCACCACAAACAAGTTTAACTTCTATTAAATTGTGTGCCTTTTTCTTTAGAAAACAGGCAGTAGAATTTTTCCAATTCAGTACATCTCAGTAAGACCCTGTAAATGCCAGGTTATGGAAAGTGGCACAGAAGTAAGAAAATGAAAGAGTATATTACCAAATTATTAGCAAGTGAGAGTTAATTTTAACTGAACACACTATCCTAAATTTCATAAACATGAATGCAGTTTAGTGGTGTGAGAACCTTACTGATAGGAGCCTGGTCACTGCTCAAAAAATTCATCCGGATATTTTATTAAAGCCTTGCTGCTGAAGCTACAAACAGTGCTTAGACTTCAGACCCATTTCTTAATTCTAGGACAAAAAGAAGACCCAAGATGAAATCTTGGCATAGAACTGGGGACCATCATGTTTCTCAGCACTTCCATTTGCCAGAAAAATTTCAGTATCTTCAGAAGCTGGTCATGTTCCTGTTTTAAATCTCACTGTGCTAGATGTTGAAGGAAATTGCTTTTTACAGTGTAAAATTGTACTATACAATCTGGAGTCTCAGTTTACAAAAATTCTTTGAAGTAAGCTAAGAGACTTGGCTTTGGTCACAACATCCATTTTAAAATGCTTCCTCTTGTAACTGATCAGATTCTGTTCCCTCCTATTTCACTGATCCAAGCTGCAAAATTCAGATTAAGAATTTGAAACCACAATGCCTGCAGCTTTTAAATCTGCCAAAAAGTACTTATCCTCAGAACCACGCTTCTAACAACAGATGCCTGAAGCAACATTCATATTTAGATTTTATTATACTTAAAAAGGCTCAGGGATGCTACACTTGAGATACTGGATTAAGCTCATCTTTATCCTTACAAAGGACAGTCACAATAAAATCCTTTCAAAAAAACCCTTGTCAAATTGCCTTTCCAATTTTACTCCTTGCTTAAAGGGCATTTCTTCCACTACAAATTTTGAAAAAAGCTGCCATTTTAAAATGCACATTTTGCTCAAGGATTTAGGTGATATTTTCAGTTTTGGGGAGCTGCTTGGCTAGGATTTTTATTTTCCCCTTCAATAAAAGCCCTTGAGATTCTTCAGGTAGAAATACTTTCCAGATTTGGTTTGTTCCTATGTTATATGGACTATTCTCTCCCAAACCTTCTCATTATTAATACTCTCTCCATACTTTGTGACTTTAAGAAAGCTCCTTGCTTTCAGATCAGCATTTTTACAGCACTGAGGACAGCAAGACACGTTGTTTGGCACAACACAAGGAAGTGGGGAAGCATTTGAAGGTGCAGGACCTGTTAGGACGGTACTGAAGAACCACAGATGGTACAAAGTGCCAAAGCAGGCACAGTTTTATTTGCCTTGCCTCGGGAAAACAAAACCAGGAGAAAACATATCAGAGAAACTACCTGTTACACTGCAAAGGTAAGCTCAGGAGTAAACTAACATATAAGCACATGCATGAGGGAACAAACTAAAAAATTATTTGACCTGAACAGAGATCTAAGAGAACCAATTCTCTCAAAAGAACAAAACAAATGTTCATACCCTAGGCTTTGCTCCCTTCTGACAGAGGCACAGAATTCAAGCCAGCATTCACCAAGCCCCACATGAGGCTCTAGCAGTTCAAATGATCAGAGTGTCAGCATACCATGGGATTTGAGAGTTTAGCGCTTCTCCCCGGGCCCTGCTTGGAACTATGGTATGGTCAGAAACAAGCATCAGAGAGCTGTTTCAGCTGTGTCCCCCCTCAAAAGACACAGGGGGTCAGGAGTGGGTGTACAGGTCAAGGACTAACACCTTCTCCAGATTATAAACAACTAACAAGTTTCAGTGACTCAGCTACATGCCAAATAATAAAAAAACCAAACGTATTCATTGAATAAATATATCAATTTTTTATATATATACAATTCCATTTGATTATGCCAACAAAACGTCCTTAAGAGATTTATTGCTGTATCAAGAAGCATATACCCTACCAAGAAGTTTTACAACCTACACACACCTTGTACTTCTCAACAGATAAAATGATGAAGTAACACACAGACTTTGAAAAAAATATTTTCTCGGGGTATTATATAATTCAAATTTTCATTTGATACATAGAATATAAGCCAGGAGTGTATGTTTAATAGCTTACAGTAACAGAATCCAGCATCTCTCCCCAGCATACTTAAATGTATAAAACATTGACTCTGTATTTATATAAAAGACCTTTACTTAATATTAATGTTAGCATTTTCAAGAACTTCTCAAATTGTCAGCTTTGGTTTTACCGTACTTTTTGTGAATACAGCAAGCGAGACATTGAACAGCTTATTTAACAGCTATTGTTGAACAAGCATATATCCCCTCTCTACTGAAACAGGACACTGGTAGATATGAGAAGGTCTCCAGATATTATCCACAGAGAACTTCGAAACAACAGAGTCATTCTGAACACTGTGGATAACAAGAATGTTCACTTTTAGCTTGTGCAAGAATTCTGACATAAATTACAGTGGTATAGGATAAAAGTTATGGAGGAATAACTGGAGCATATGAACAATTTGAGCACACTTCAGGTAACTTGTAAAAACAAAGTTTCTGAAAGTGTGTGCAGATGTAGCAGATGCTCCCGTCAGATCAACATACAGTCAGATGTTGGGCTGTTAGCAAGTATCTCTGGTTAGCACAACCCTTCCACATTAAAGAGGCAAAGAAAACAATACACAACAATAGAAAAATCTCACTGTTGCTAAGATGTCTTAACACTGCAATAAAGTATCAGTGAAGCAGCTTTCATCAAGGAATACAGCTGCTCTTTCAAAATAGGACACATGCTTGTGTGTATATACACCCCTCTACACAGCTATTTACATTCACCTACAGTAGACAAAAAGACCAATATAAAATCACACATGTAGGTAACTTCTTACCAAACGTTAAATTATTTCAAGAGATTAAGAAACATTATGTAAATTCTTATCTTTTGAAATGATTGCTTTGAGAGAGTAATAAAAAGTTCATGGAATATACTTTCGCACAGCCCCTTCAATGCACTTTATGTATTTTCCTACAAGAACTTTTCCAGGGGAAAAAAGCTACCATCACGTAAGTCATTCTCTGTTGTTTTTACAATTCAAAACTTCTAGATGGGAACACCATAATTTTAGAAATACATTTAAATGTTTTTTTGCTGACAGAGTAATTAAGTATTTATTGGGAATATAGAAGTAAATGTTAAATGTAAAGGCATGATATAAATGCAGTTTGAATTTCACTTTTAACAACCTAAACACTTACCTGAAGATTGGAAAGATACTTTAAATGAGGCTAGCCTATCAACATATCTTTAGGTTAATTCTATTTACACGTGAAAGTTAAGATAATAAAAAAGTCTGAATACTGAAAAATAAAAAGGAAGACAACGTATCTAGAATTTTATCACTAGCTGGAAGTTAATTTCAATGAAGTCTCTTTCAAATTGCTTTAAATTTTGCAATTTCTTTTTCTCAAAACATTGTTTATCTTTAGAACAAACAATTACTTGATATTTTCATGATGGAATTTACAGGGACATATGAACAACCACTCACTCAATTATCTTCTAAAGATGCAGGTGAAGAATTTCAGTAAATCTAGTGTCCTTTGCAATGTGTTGCATTACAACAGTAACACCCAAGATAAGAGGAGAACAGGCATCTGGCCTCCTACTGGCCAATAATTACTTTATGACCTAAATGTTTGGTGCAGCGTAGTAATTTTAATGATTATTTTTCAATTGCAGTATTTTTACTTTTGCCCTTCTTTCCATTCTGAACATTTTGCTATCTATTTACAGAAATATCCAAAGGCCAAAATAACTGCAAATTTCAATTATCGGGAGAAAAATGGTATCTGCTCCAATCTTTCAATGCATTTTTCCTCTTCTGTCCTCCATCTGCCATTGTCAGATTAACAAGCTGATAAACAAAGCCAATTTTTCTATTTGATTCAGCTGCTCGTCTTGCACGTTTTCCTCTTCTCTTCTGCGTTCCTGACCTCATCAAAGTTCTGGCCTATGGGTCAAATGAGACCCAGTCACCTGCTCATTTTTCTCTAAAAAGCTGGAAAACCAGTCTGTTCCAAATGGCCCACGCCTGTGGGAACCACACCTCTGTAGTTGAGAGGGCTTTTTGTGAGTTGCCAAAACAACTCAGAGAGAGGACATTACCTTTGGATAGCTGTCCTAGCAGGCAGAAAGGCAAAATTCCTATAAATTCCTAGAGATACGATCCTTAGATTCTCTATATAGTCCTATACACTAGATATACATTGGACTATCTCTATATAGTCACCATATAAAGGAAGTGAGCAGCAAGTGACTAGGCACACTTCGGTTAGTGTCCTTGTCTGAGTCTCCCTCTAAAGAAGGCTCTCCTCTCAACAGTTGTGTAGATGCAACCTAGCATCTTCAGGCCAGCTGGTCTTTGTGAATGTCATGGTGTAACAGTCGTCATCACTGTTAGACACGTCTTACAAGCAGCTAATCAGTATAAAAACAGAACACTAAGTTTTAGTACCAGAACTATTTACTTACCTTTTCCCACTACAATTATTTCGGTTCAGTCCTCCAACCTGGTTAACTGCAGACCATGCTGTGAGACCTACATAGGGTAAGGAGGCAGCTTCTGTGTGACTGAGACGCTTTGGCTTAAAAGACACCTGAAATAAAATCAATCGTATTTTAAGTCACACAGCAGATCCTATGTGACACTGAAATATTTAAACAAGCTTCACTGAACTGCAGACAGTGTATTCTACATTTTCAACTACCTTCATAACTAGCTGGAGTCTAAATCAATCCAGACACCAAGAAATAGACAGTTACTTAGACACCAAAGTGAAAAAAAAAATGCCAGTCTTCACAATTTTGGGGTTTTGTCTGTTAGCTGCATTTTTGAAGGTTTACCTCGTTTCCACTAGCTACCACAAACTCTGACAGAGTGCCCTGTTTCCATGGAGGAATTGCTGCCCACACCTAAAACCAAACAGAAAACAAGTATCAGTTTTTGTGACTTTGCACGATTGTACCTACACAGGAAAGTTTTCTTGATTAAAGGAATCTTTTTTTTCCAATTTGCAGAATGTCTTCACTATTGCTTATCAGAAACCAGTCTTAGCTTACTCTTTACGCAAAAAGCATCACAAGGCTGACTAAATGAAGGACTGCAGGGCTGTCTAAATCAATTGTACCATACTGTGTATAAGATATAATTTTTCAAAAACCCCAAACTACTTCCATGCCAAGAAAGCCCAGATTGGAAGGGATGGGGCAGGGAGGAATCAGAATTTGCTATACTAAAACTGGTGAAATGTGAAAGCAACTAGTGAAGGTGAAAGCAAACAATATCAGTATTTATGTGGGGACTCGTGACGTGGTTCTTGGGTTATGCTAGAGTTCCTATCCTAACTAAGTTACTCAAGAAAAAAACCAAAGCAACTAACCCCTTCCTGTTAGAATTTTATCTTCACTCAGAAATGAAGCAGCGTCCTGAATGTGCACTTATAAATAAATATCTCTCTTGGTACCACTGAAATGGACCAAAAAATAAAAAACAGAAGGGAAATTAACTTGCAGAAGCAAATCTGGGAAAGATCATGTTTTTCAGATAAAAGAGGTAGGGAAGAAAGCATTCTAGGAATTTACTGCTGGATAGTCCTCATTCAGAGTGTAACAACATAAAAGAAAAAAAAATAATTTTCTTAAGAGGAAAATGAAAGCTGAATATCTCATAATATATTTTAACTATACATTTTTGGAAAAAAAGACAGTGGTGGTATCACCTCATCTCCAGGTTTGAAATAAGACACACTCAGTCCACATTCCATAATAACACCAGAGACATCTCGACCAAGTGTTAGTGGAAATTCAGTGTCTGCGCTTTTGAGTTTCAGGGGATCCCGCTTCATATTTAATGCGGTTGCACCGTAACCACCTGTAAAAACATGAAATTAACCATGATGTGCCATAGAGTTTTCATTATTAACTGGATAATTCCAATTAGAAAGCATTGTCTATACCTAATGTTCCTCATCTCTGTTATAACTTAGGCATGCAAAAGATCTGCACTATTTTATACTTTTACGGATTTTACAAATAAAGAGCAAATCTCATTCTGGCTTATTTGTCATGAAATGGTTCTCCATTACAAAAATATTTAGTATGCATTAACACCATCAGAAATTCTAAGAAGTCTGCTGGAAATGCTCCATTTTCCAACAACATCATGTAGCTACAAATCCAAAAGAACACCAAGCTTTCCATTTGTCTTTTCAAATAAAGAAGCGTAAAAAGCAACATGAACATCACTGTAAAAAATATTAAGGCACATCTCCCAAGATAAGCAACCTGAACTTCTATTCCGTAAGCAATAGCAAAATGCTGTGAACTGTCAGAATTACCCATCTAACAACTCTGCTTAGCCTAAAAAAGTCTGCATTTGGGCACACATGCCCATTCAAGTATTTGGACAAGTCTGCTTCGGTGCCCTATTATGCTAGAAAGTGTTTTAATACTGAAAAGAAACAGACACAAAAGCAGGCACCTCAAAAGCAGGATGAAAATGTAGTTTTTCAAATACTTTTACACTGACTTAAAATACTGCTTGCAACCCAGCAGTTCAAGCAGGTCGTTCAACAGGAATCCTCAGATAGCAAACGTCCCACAATCAAGCCCACAACTACATACAAAGATTTTTTTTAAATTAATTTATTAAAAGACCCAAAACACAAATTACAGCTCTGACACCAGGCTTCCTGCAGATATCTCTGCACATGCTACTGAATCTGATTTGATATGCAAGATCAATTCTTAACATGAAATATAAGGTCTTCTACTACCACAATGTCCTTCTTGTGTTTCAAACCTTGAAACTGAGAAAAAATCTGATTAAATGTGTCAAACACGAAGAGTGGGTCAGTGAAAGATATGGATTTCCTGGGCAAGATGACAGCAGGTACCCAGATACCAATTCAGGAAGAAAGGGCATGGCAACGAACACCACGGTTTGGATGACGTCGCACGTGCCGACTTTGCGGTAACTTTGACCCCCAGCCCCATTCACCTCAAAGAGATGGGAAAATCCAGCACCTCTCAGGGGGAATGCTGCTCCTTGGAAGGGCTAGTCTCTTGGTCAAGGGAGTACCACCACCCTGACGGAGGGGATGGGGGAGAAGGCCGGGAAAGAAACCCCGCCACGGCCGTGCTACTAACGTAAGGAAGCTGACCAGTGAGCTGCAAGCCCGCAGAGGACAGCAGTTACTCACTCAGACTAAAAGCTTACCCCTGCAACGCACGCGCTCTTGCCTTCAGAAAGGCAGTGGCTTTTTGTGCCTTTCTTCCCTAAGAACTTGAAATAATAACGTTTCAAAGAGGCCGTTTCCCCGACAGGCTCCGGGCAGCAAGTGCGTTGGCAAGCCGCCCTCCTGACACCCCTGCGACAGCTATCCCAGCACACCCCCTGCCGCCACGCCAGCCTGGCCCCGGCCGCTCGGGCCCGGCACTTACTTCTCATGCTAAGGTCGATGGGGTTCAGGCTCGCAGCGTGAACCTTAATGATGACCTCGTTCGGGAAGTGTATGATGGGGAACACCATGTCCCGGGTGAAGCGCAGCACGTCGTTGCGGCCGTACTGGTCTATGACCCAGGAGGGCATGGCGGACCGCGCCCGCGGAGAGGCGCGGAGGCCG